ATTCACGCTGGACGTTCAACATCTTAAAAATGTTTTTATTTTATTGAAAAATTAGTATAAGTTTCTTAAATACGCGAATATCACAATTTATAATATAATTTTCATATATGCATGGGTCAGTACATCTTTATGGATATTTTTCATAAAAACATATAAAAATCAAATATAATAGACATATTTTATCTTTAGGTATCAAATATATTTTATAAAAAAGCAATATAAAAATGTGACAGTAATTTACTTGCTTTTGAATGGAATTTGTCAGCTGCTCCTCATTTATTCCTCAGTATTCTCTAATTCTTTTTCTCTGATGTATCTGGTAATCCTTTTTTTTTTTAATATTTCAGGCAATACAATTATTACATATTCTATATACTTCATAATCATTTATTATAATATTTGCGAAATAAAGAATTCAATACTAATTTTTCAATAAAATAGAAACATTTTTAAATAGAAAAAGTATAGCACGTTATAAAAAAAAACTATAGGCATAAATATTATCGCATCGATGATAAAGATAATAAATGTAGATCGAATTTCAACAGACCTTCCCCGTTTTTATATTTCTTTTCTCATGATAAGGAACCGACCTTGGGTTGTAGGCAGCTGACAAAAACTAATATTTTCAAAATTCTATCCATCAAAATGGAATGCTGAATGCGATAGCCATAGATAGAAACAAAAATTGTATAATATTTGTCGACAGAAAGATACGCCGTCCTAATCCAAGTAAATATAATATGTATTTTTTTAAAACTCAGGTAAATGAATTTTTTTTCTCTTACACTTTTCACACTTTCTGTGAATGTGAGATATCTTTATCATAGGTTAGCATACACAAGTATTTCTTTTTGTGTTGCAACTGATAACTGTAGATGCTGTTAAAGAAGGGATCAATTGTGGTAGGATCTTTTTCGTTTCATCGGGTTTTGAATTACAACGATTTTAAAATCTATCATTTCCGTTGTTTTATTTTATAATATTAAAAAATTTTTTTTAAAATTTATTTTCTAGATTTTTTTCTATATTTTTAAAATAAGTTATATTATTGTATTTTTATTAGAAATATAATAGTAAATAATATTGGTTTGTGTCAGGAGTCCAGTTTCTTCTATTAAAAAGCTTTTTTATTTGATTGAAAAATTAGTATAAATTTCCTAAATACGCAAACATTATAATTAAAAAACATGTCTTTGGATATTTATAAGAAAAATATTCTACAATGTTGTCTAATTCTTTTTCTCTGATGTATCTGATAATCATTTTTTTTTTTTTTTGTAAAATATTGCAGACAATACAAATATTATATTCTATATATTTCATAATTGTTAATTATAATATTTGCGAAATAAATAATTTAATATAAATTTTTCAATATAATAGAAACATTTTTAAATAGAAAAGAAATGACACGTTTTTGGTAAAAAAAAAACAGACCACGCACCTTCTTTCTTTATTTCGACCGTCGGTTCGTTTGGACCTTATACTTTTGTCGCATACCTACGTGCTTATCTCTGTTTATTCTTTTACCTTTCTATGGCTCGTACCTACAAACATTTCGAATATCGAAAGAATACGTGTCCACGCTTCGTAGTATGCAGTTGTACACGAACACACATATATACAACCAGGAGCGATAACTACGAAGCAGAGCATATAGAGGAGACCGAGAATAGGAAAAACTGTATAGCTATATTCCGTCTCATTCTCTCACAGGCTCAATCCTATATGTTTGTCTCTTTTTCTCTCATTATTTAGTATAGCAGCCGTTTCATAGCTCCGTTCCTGACCGACCGCGTTTATTTACTTTTCAGATCACTCCCATTCTAAAGAAGTTTCCACTTCAATAGAAATTAAATGACACGTATATATACTTTCCAGACTCACATAGACTTACACACTTTTACACTTAGAAATACTGACTGCACCCCTTCTTTCTTTATTTCGACCGTCGGTTCGTTTGTACCTTTTCCTTTTATCGCTTACCTACGTGCTTATCTCTGTTTATTCTTCTACCCTTCCATCGCTTCTACCTACAAACAGGTATAGTATCGAAATAATATGTGTCCACACTTTGTAGTATGCAATCGCACACAAACGCACACATATACAACCAGGAGCGATAACTACGAAGCATAGCATAAAGAGGAGACCGAGAATAGGAAAAATTGTATAGCTATATTTCGTCTCATTCTCTCGCAGGCTTAATCCTATATGTTTGTCTCTTTTTCTTTTCTTGTTTAGTATCGTGGCCGTTACATCGCCGCCCGCCGCTCCGTTACACTCCGGAGCGTCCCCAACAGCTTGTTTCATTTTTTTTAAATCACTCCCTAGTCTAAAGAAGTTTTCACTTCAAAAATAAAAAATAAAAATAAGAAGTTAACCCGATGAGACTTAATCCGGGTATTTATCGGTTACGAGTTTTGTTCGATACGTGTTATACTACAACTGTACTACTACTAAGATGTAAGATTTAAAGTAATAGTATATAAGAATCCTAGTAAATCTTTAACCCTAATATTCTCAAAAACGACTGTACCTTGGAATCTAATTACCATACACTGTATGTACGGGTTATAACTTTAACGGACACATATAAATTCATAAAGTTTCATAAACGTCTTAAAAATACAAGTTCTGGGTTCTCTATGAAATAACACGTGTTAGAAGTGAGAACTTCAAAAAACTAAGTTTAGAGAAAATGAGACGAATGCATAGTTTCAAAAGTAAGATAATTGTAGGATTTAATTATTATAACATTGTTACCCTATATATGAAAGGCCACCAGCATGATCTTAGGATGATGTTAGCTAACATTAACTATCTCTATCACAAAGGGTCACAAAAATTAAGAAATATAATTTTCAAGGGGACGATAAGCAATATTTTTTCAGAAAAGGAGGCAATAGGACAAAAAAGTTTGGGAACCACTGATCTAAACGTATAGTTGCAACAACAAAAAATTCTTATGTGTGCTAACTCATGACAAAGATATCTGAAATTCACAGAAAAATCATCTACCTGAGTTACGAAAAATATATTATATTTACTTAGGTTAGGACCGCGTATCTTTTCGTCGACAAACATTCTACAATTTTTGTTTCTATCTATGGCTATCGCATTCGGCATTTTATCTTAACTGCTAGAATTTGGGAAGTGGTAGTTTTTGTCAGCTACTCCCACCTCAAAATCATACCGGTGCCCTTTGGTATATATGATAACGATATTATAATAAATATACCCTGCAATTATCTTACAAGTAGAAGTCACGATCGTCCTCCCTCCGATTTTTCGAAATTTGGCACACTTGTAGTAGTTCATGAGAATATTCATTGAGCTTTTGCAGATAGCTTCATTTGCCTTGCCGCAGATAGCTAACCGCTCGCGAATGAACGCGAATTGAAATTTCAATTAGATCTGTATTTCTTTAGCTGTAGTAATGTAGTATCCTACAATAGCCGCGATGTGTGTCTCAGAAGGCACCCATCTTTTCTTTTTTTTTATCTATTCTGATATTTACATAGAATTAAGTTTGTCTACCTTTTTGAAGATATTTTTTCTTTCTAATTCTATATTTTTCGCTAATATAAAGTAAGCCTAATAATTTTCATTTTTTTTTATCTTTTACTAAAATATTTTAAATTAAATTTATAAGGAATAAAATTTAAAAAAAAAGTGTATTTGTGTTATAGGGTATCTAATTTTTTTTGTGTACTAATGTTGTAAATTTTATTAAGAAATCGACATTATTAAACAAATAATAAAATAAATAATTATAAATTAAATAATAAATATAGTATTATTATATATATAAAAATTAAGTGTTTTTAAAATATTTCCAGGTCTAATTTACTTATTTAATTTGTTGAGAAGCATTTTCTGCTTTATTTAGTAAATAATTGATGTATTTTCTAAGTGTGACTTTTTTCATGCGGTCCCTCTCCGCTGCATAAAAAAAATTTTATTTAATATATCGTACAAAGTTGTTCATTATATGTAAGAATTTATCAAATTTCCGCACAAAAACAGGTTCTACTGTATTAAGTAAAGTTATTGCGTCATGTATACGTTAGATATGTATGCCAATGGTTTTTTTGTAGTTAGTTTTTAAGTTGCTATTTTGAGAATAGGATAAATACGTTTCTTACATATTAAGAGAAAATGGAGAAAACATGGTTTTATAAAAGGTAAAAACGATCTTCTTATAAGTGTAAATAGATACTCTAGGATAAGTGAAGATGTTTTTCTATTTAGGTGAAAGTATAAGAAATATAATCCTTTATTACTCTGAAGAAAGAAGAAAATATGTGAGTGTTGTGCATGTGTGCTTAAGGACAAGGGTGATATCATAAAGGTTGATATAAGACAGTGTGAATAAATATGGTGTAATGAATGGAAAAAAATACGGATGTTAGAACAGAGTGTAGAAAAATGTATTGTAGTGAACGGTTGAAATAAAGATGTTGGAATAAAAACTCAGAAAATTAAAAAAAAAATAAAAACATTCCTAAATAGAAGAAACTTGACACGTTCTGTAAAAAAAAATACACTATACTTGATTTTATATTTTCAATAAAAATAATATAACTTACTGTAGAAATATAGAAAGGTAATATTATAGTTATATTATATAATAAATTATATCCTACTCCTGATACTATGCATTCGTCTCATTCTCTCGAAACTTGCTTTTTTGAAGGTTTCACTTCTTACGTGTGTGATCTGCATGCATGATTTTTTTATTTATTACAGGTTTATATCATTCATGTATTTTATGGATCTTCTGGTCATTTTTTGTTACATTCTGTTTTATATCATATCACCCTGATTCTAAAGAAGTTGTCATTTCGAAAACAGTAACTTTTCGGTCTAAATATATCGGTACTTATGAATAAGATTTTAAAATAAAATTGATAAAAATAAAATAATTGATTGGAAATAAAATTAAATATAAACATTGTTAGCAATAATATACAAAAGTACTCTTTTAAACTTACATGATAAGTACCTGATTTCATCACTTTGGTTATTATACTGGTCCAATCTACTTTTTCTTCATCAGTCTCTTTATACGCAAAACGATGTAGTTTATCATTAAATTCTCACGAACAAACTTATTTACTTATTTTCTTTTATTTATCTTTATCTTTATCTTCTTCTTGTTCTTCACATTTACACACAACGAACGTAACATACTTTCTTCTTAGGGTGTATGTTGTTTTTCCATAAATAACCTTTGGTGAGGATCTTGGGTCAGGAACGTCGAAAATCTCGGCACAGTATTTGTTATTTATTTTGTTCTATTTTATTCTCATTTAAAAAAACAATATTCGAGATTGAAGCGGACGGTGCAATAAGATATGTAACCATCTTGAGATCGATTGTGAGAGCGCGTGTGTTATAATTCGTGGTTGGCGACAAGAAGAAGAAAAAAAGAGATAGACGAAGTTGTTGTTTGCGTTTACTGTCGCCAGGTGGCAGTTTCGAGCCGTGATTTGTAGAGGGTTTCTCTAGAGTAAAGGTAATATTAGACTGAATTTTATTTTATGATTTTTATTTAAAGGATGCGACTTGCTTTTCTTTTTTGTACACTTCTCAACGGCTACGCACAGACTGTTCTAGTCTAGTGACCACTACTTGTTAGCGTGGTTCCCTAGCCTTCTAGTAACTTTAGAGGGCGCGACCTTCTGTCGTACCGCTACAGATTTGTAGGGATCCTACAGGATCCCTAGTGATTTGATAGGATCCCTAGTGATATGTGGGAAACCAGGACGGTGGATAAAGGCTATCTGGAGAGTTTATATCCACTTTCTGACCCCGTTTTCCAATTACAGCACTAAAGCGCATTATGCGGCATAATGCTCAACGTTGAATGTTTCAACTAGAGCATCGCATCGCACAATCGAG